GGCGGAAATTCTTCTTTACAGCTAAAAGTTCTTTCACTTGAAAGTTCTCTTGGAGCAAAAAGTTAGTTAATTTTTATTATTCTAGGAAAACATTATACTTTGCAGGGCCTTTTCAAGAACTAGGCCCATTTTAACGAAACAATTTTACGTTTGAAGCAGGAACCACAGAATCTATTGTGACTCCATTTACCAAAAAAATGAAATAATCACAACAAACATTTGGACATGATCCAAACATTTGGATTTTTTTACTTCCTATTTTGTGTCAAACACTTCTACTCATAACCTTCTGAGTATGACCCTAGCATATGCTTTTTCAGACACCTTGTTAGAAAGACCTTTCATCTGCTGTTTCCCCGTATGAGGAGCCAGGAAAGATCTGCAAATAAGACCTCTGCATTCAAGTTAAAGAAAAAAAAGAGAACATGAACACTCTTCTTTTAGAAAGCTGTTTAGAAATAGAAAGGAGTCAACTCGGAGGCCAGCAACTTAACTGGAAGGAAAGGAAAAAAGCTTCTAGCTTAGCTCTTGACACTGGTGGTTAAGTCTGGAATCAAAAGCTTCTAGCAAGAGGATTTCCAAATCTTGCCACAGAAGTTAAAGTAATTCTCTTTATAAAACACTGTGCTTAAGAGATTATATCAAGGCCAACTTATTGTGCCATACCAGAGAGAAACAAAATACAGGCTGGTTAAAATATCTGAACATTTGCTGCAGGGGGAGCTAGTGAAAAACAAAAGACCCTAACAAAGAAAGAGTTTGATACTACTAAGCACACAACACAAATGTCTTTATTTCTACTTTCTCTTAAACCTACATCCTTCCATACATACCTTAGATGAGCTTCAAAGGTTGTATTACTGTTTTGTAATCTGGGATAGTTGGTAGCCATAGACCAACTACTCTCTACCACACGAGTTTGTAGCAGAGATGTGGAGGATTATAGCACTTGTTGGATTAGTACGAATTCTGCCAGTGAGCATGTCTGAAGTATGTGTTCCTTGTCATATCTCCCCAAATCCTCCTGATGCCTACTTCAGTGAATAAAAAGTCTTAAGAGGAAAATAAGCTGGCAAGGAACTACACATCTGCCACTTCTCACCAGCATCCTATTGTTTTGGCTTCCTTGTACTTTAAGTTTTGGAATTACATACTTGAAAACCTCAGGAGCAGACCCATGACAACTGCCACCAATTTTTGTTCTGCTTCAGTCCACATGTTACACTGCAGAGTACAGCACACAATTCAGTATGTCCCTCAAACATGGATATTATTACCTTCTACTGCTAATAAAAGAATAAATTGATATTCGTAAAGAAATGAGACACTGTTATGGCAGGGTAACAGTGGCCAGAGAGCTATTATAAGATTATTAATTTTTAATCAATCACTTTTCCAGGAGATTAATTCAGTTTAATGTCAAAATTACTAGAAAAATCTGTAACCGTTTTAAGAGGGTTTGATTAGACCCATTGTCTATTATTCCCACGCACCAACATTTTAGGAATTGTGTGCCTATCCAATGGCCACAGAAAGTTTTTTGTGCAGCCATTTGTACACATATGCACATCCAAATATTATCTTTCTGTCCTGTAATGATTAACTCCACATCCCTTAAAGGTTTTGCATACACTGGAGCATTATTTCTAGAAATACATTTTAGAGATCAGACTCTTGTCTTTCAAAACCCACTGTAACCCGTGCAAATACCAGAAACATTAATTTTTAAATTTCTGAAACAACTTTACAGTTATCCTAATAGACAAGTATTCGAATGTATTTTTCAATTAAGCGTATGAAGTTTCTACTACCTTTTTCAGACTTAGACTCCATGACCCCAAAATATTTTAACCGTATCTGCATCAGAAAGCAACCCCAGCCCTGATATATATAAAAATAAACGCATCTTAAAAAGGGAGAGAGCAGGTACACATGCAGGAGAGTGCAGGAGACCTAATTAGAAGAAAGGAATTTAAACACAAATTGAAGGAACCAGTTGCCCAGCTCTTATAGATGCAACTTCTTAGAAACTTGTAACTTCAAATGTTGAAGTTCCATAGTTCATATACTTATTCAGGACACATGCTTAAAAATGGTGGTAGCATTTATATATATATATATATACACACACACACATATATAAATAAACGACATCAACAATTTAATAGCACTTCTGACATTAGGAGAAAAGTTTATTATGGAATAAACTGGTAAGAAATATTGTCCATTATGCAATTTGTTTCCAGTGAAATAAAGTTTTACCACTGCTGGCATCACAGAACATCTTCACATTTGATGCAAATATGAAAGATCAATTACAAAGTCACTCAGTGGCACTCTGACAAAAACAAATAGTTCAGTTATATTATGTAAAACAGATTATAACTTTAATAAGCTGCAACTGCACTGCAGCTGCAAAAACTTGAACAAAGTGTCACATTAATTATAATTTTGGAAAAACTTATAATAACACAACCTTTAGACATTACAGTTACCAGCAACATCCTACTAAAAAAAAGCTGCACATTCTTCCAACTTACAGTTTTAAACTACTACTGTAAACCTAAAGAGTTTAGAAAGTCTTGCACCCTCTTTCTAAACCAAAATATATAATATAATATTTTACATATAATATTTTATACATAGTTGTTTTCACATTGTAATTAAACAGGTAAAATTTACATTTTTATTTTGGTGACAAAGACTTAATTTCAGACCCTAGTTTGAAGCTCCTGCAGCACTGTGAACAGAAGTTGTGGAATCATGATTAGATAGAAAAGCAACAGTGGCAGCATCTGCTTCAGGAAGCACGGGTGCAAGCACATGACGACAAACTGGGCATGTTCCCGACTACAAAAAAAAAAAAAAAGAAAAAAGAAAAAAACCAGGTTATTTCCACAGTTTGCATTCAGTTCTACTGAAAAGCTAAAGGCTATTATTTATTAAGTAGTTAATGTCTTCACAACAGCACTGTCTCAAAGTTAGGCTACCTGGAGCTAAGACACATCTCTCAATCTCAGAAAAAAAGCTTTGGTTTGCTTTTATGCTGGTTACACAGCAGATACATCAGGCTCTCTGCAAGGTCCTTTTTAAAGAACTGATTTTATAGGTTGGGATTTTTTTTTGAGGCAAGGATTAAATATAAACTAGGTACAGCCCAAATCTAACAGGAATTATTTTGTCCTAGTTTTCAGCAAGAGCAGTTTACTATGACAGCAAAAAAAGACATGACATATAAAACAAACAATATCGATGTGGCAATCAACACAATCAAGATAAAAGATATTATAAACCCACCAATAACCCATGCTAGAGGAGTTCTGATCTCCCTAGTCTAAGTCAATTAACATTCCTCTTGTACCTCTTGAGGAAATGATGTGTTACACTGTAGGCTCAATGAGAACTAGCAAGTCCAGGCTTATACAGTGCGTAAAGCAGAGTGCAAGTGCAAGGAAAAAAAAAACCAAATACCATCAGTTACAGTTCTTTTAGTCTAGCCTCAATGATGCAAGCCTTTTTAAGACACTTGGAAGGAAACTGATTACAGATTATGAAAATGAAATCTAACACAACGTAGATTTATCAAAGGTAAATTTTTAAAATTAATCTACAGGCATTCCAGTATTTCTCCTGCCAACCTTAGCTGTCACCATAAATGGGCCTGACATTCTGGCAAGACAGATCAGATCCTTTGCTCCTCTCAGAGAAAACCAAGCCATCGCCTTTACTTCAAGGTACGAGTACAGTAAAGAAAGCTTTTCTCAAAACAAGTTATAATTCATCCATCTCTTCCTGCTCACTAAAAGCAGACCTTGATCTTCCTCACAAAAATACCCCCTTTGTTCAAGAAATTGCCCTTCAGGTGAGTACAGATACAAATTACTTTCCTCGCTTGCACTAGAATTTGGTTCCATAACGCATGAACTTAACAGCCAGTTATTTCTTCATATATCATCCCACATTTTCAAAGAGTTACAAACCATTCTTCCCAGAAGAATCAAACACTCAAAAAAACCCCCACAAAAGCCCCACCAATCCTGTAGTACTTACTTTCTGTAACCAAAGAGTTACACAAGGTTTGTGAAACAAATGGTGACAGGGTAGCTCTGTTATGATTTCATCTTTCACATATTCACTGCAACAGATAGTACAACACTGCTCTTGACCTACACCAATGATGAAGAAAAAGCATTATTATATTTTGTTTTACATCTGAGATGAGCTGAAGTTAAAATACATACATTATCACTAATGATTACAAAATACAGTCACACTTACTCCAGTAAAGACTAGTTTTCCAAACTGACCAAAAAGTTACATTCACTCTGATTCAAGATTCAAAAGCTCTTAGAACAGCATTACCAGTAAGTATGTTTAAATACTGCATCTTAAAGAAAGATAAATTTGTTCTTATAAACTTTGTGGAAATTGATTCATAATTATTTTTGCATACCATCATGATCATCTGTGACGATAATCTGTGGCAGACAATCTATGGTTTCTTTAGTAGCCGGTGGATGAGCCTGTTCAACATCAAATCCAAGAGATTCCAAATGTGCCAAAGCAGTCTGAAAAGGGTGAGCAGAGACCAACTTCTCTTATTCACAAATGTAACATTCCATATGAAAAGAAATAACCACGAACAGGAATCCTATTCTAATAGTATTTCTTTCTTAAATGGAAGTAATGTCTGTCAGACTAACCATTACATCATTTTTATTTTTGTAACGAGTGAGATGAAACTGAAGGTCAAAACAGTAACAGCTTGTTTTTTAAGCCTTCTTAAAGTATCAGGACACAGTCACAACTTACTCTCAACATTTGTTCATTCTATAAAGCTTCAGAAAAGGCATCAAGTCAAAAATGTAAAGCTTGCTAATACAAAACTGCCATTACATTTCACTTTCTGAAAATAAAAGCCTCATTAATGTGTTTCCTGGCTTGAACTATTGAATTACTCAGGCATAAACAAAAATATTAAGTACCTCGGCTACACCACCAATGCAAGCTTTCAGAGGAAAACAGGATCCACATAGATGTTTCTCATCTGTGTAATGACTGAAGACATAGTGCTCTGAAGTCATCTTGTTGCACCATACAAAAACTTTAAGATTCTGATGCTACAGCAGGCAGATTTGACCTTTACATCATACATTCAACCCCATAAGCCACTGAAAGGATCTCCAGTAGAAAAAAAATGCAACACAGAACTCAGATTTGTTATATTAGCTAAGAAATGTACTAGATACACCTGTTTGAACAGCAGAACAAACTGAAACTGAAGAGCCAAGAACACAGGAGTACCGAGTTCATATCCTTAATGAACTAGTCACGCTCCTCAAGTACAACTACTTACTGCTCTAATCAGCACGAAAATTATTTATTCTAATGGCCAAAAACCGCCCTTGGTAGGAAGATAACCTGAGGTTTTTATAGTGTTGTCAGGCACACTTAACTAAAAAACACCCAGAAATATACTAAAGAAACATTGGATTATACACAAACATTTTCAGTAGTCTTTCCTCTTAAACTTCAAAGAAAATTACTAGAGCTGCAGCCTGAAAACATGCCTGCACTTTTATCACAGTGGCAAGGTAGCTCAGGCAAGCATCCCACCACAGATATAAACTAGCAGGTTTACACCTACAGTCAAATGTTTGTGGCAGCAGAGACATCAGCATGAGCCAACAGAAATATTTACAGCTCTTACTGCCATGCATATTCTCCTCTAGAAATCTGCTAAGTTAAAGGAAATCCTCGGACAGTTACCCCTAGTGCAGCATGCAAGTCCACGTGCAATACAGGTACACTCCTCCAATTTAACAGTTTAAAAACATTCAGTTCTACTACAGTAGATAGCGCTGCCTTACTAACGTTAAGGTGACTTTAGTACTTGTAATGGTATTTTGCTACAGCTGCAATGGTCTGAGAATAATTTGTAGGTAAAATATGAAGCTTAAGTAGATTAAGTACTACAGCTGGAAAAATTAGTAAGATCCCAGGCAGACAGAAGGATGCCATATTACCTGTGTCTCCACCCTCTGTGCCTATATCCAGTATTAGTACTCAAACAGCAAACAATTTACAAGAGCATTGTACTGTTTTCTTTTGAAAGCTGCACAAGAGAAACATCACAGACAGAAAGCCTGACAATAACTCTGATGCTTAAAACCTCATCTTCAGAACTAAAGCAGAGCAAAGAATTGTCCATTTTACAATTTTTATAACATTGTTGTAACTTCAAAGACATGTTTATTTCCTTCCTGTTATTACTTGTGCAACTGCTTACTGCTCCATGTACCATAAACCAAATGATGGACACTGCTAAAACCAGGAGTGGTACAACCTACAGGGTTTTGAGCTCCTCACATCTGTGAATCAGCACAGGAAATATTCATAAATGCAGTCACTGATGCTGCAGACACCCAGCCTGTTGTATATTGCTAATGAAGTAAACCAAACACTCCCAGGTAAGTAATTTCTTTAAAACAAATGGAAGTAAAAAAAAAAATCATGCATACAGGTTATTACATTTTAGGATCTGAGAGTTTTATATAATATAGCTTTTATTAAAAAAAAAAATATATATTCACTTCTCCCCTTGAAAAGTCACAATTAATTGGGGCAGACCCCCCCTCACCCCCAGTTAAGATACACTTGAATTTTGGATGTGTTATCATTTCACACCCCTTTTCAAGTGTTTCATAGCTACAGTAGATTAGTTTGCTAGATAGATAAATTTTCAGAACATTTTCTGAGCTATAATAGACTTTTGTAATAAATTACATTGTTACAGATGAAAAATATCCCGTTAATGAATCTACTGTTTAAGATAAGAAAATTTGGGGAAACGTAAGGAGGTGGATTAAGTAAATCAGTAACAGGTTGAATACAGTCACAGTCATTAGACAGATTATTAATGATGTTATAATTAAACTCAACCCAATCTGTTCATTAAATAAGAATAATACTTAAAGCAAGTCAAAGCTCATTAGAGCATTCTCCATCAGAAAATCTCTGGTGCAAAAATACTTATTACCAGGAAGCAGATGGGTTACATTTCAATCCTGAAGCAAAAGCAGAGGTATGTTGCACCCATAAGGTAGAATGGGACTAAGTAAGATTTAAGTAATAGCTCTTGCCAGTTATGTTTTAGCGCAAACGAGTAGCATGCTAGAAAGCTGAGTATGAATGCATAGGTATTATGTAACTGCAAGGTGGCAAACCAGCTGGGGGTACAGTTGTTCAAACAGAGAAAAAGCACACATGCAAGCAGTAAGATCTGGAAGGTGAGAACAAAAGCTGTACAACAAACAGGAAAGGTATCTGGTGAAACTGACAAATCTAATCATCCTGCAGAAAAATATCTAGCAAAACCAGAACAAGCCCTGATCTCCAAAATAAGGTGAACTATGTCAAGAAGAGATGAAATCACTCCCTTTACTCTTGGGGAGAGGGATGAGGAGCATAAAATACCAATCATGATGAAGATAGACAACTAACTACAATTCTCACTTCCCTCAAAGAGCTCTCAAGCCTGATCACCTTGACCTTGGTTACTAAGATACCCCTCACAGTGATCTCCAACTCTCGACTTGACACAGATACAATTGCAACAAACTGTGGAACAAAAATCGTCATGTTACAAACATTTTCTATACACCCTAGAAATGTAAAATCAGAAATTGCATTTTCTAGCAGACAGCAAAGACATTTTCAGCAATATCTCTTACCCAAACTTGAAAATTTAGTTCAGTTTGGTCTTTGCATCACAAAAGAAACCTTTTTAAAAAAAAAAAAAAAAAGATTTTTTTTCCCCTGTGAAAATTCTGTATGTCACACTTTGGATATCTGAGCAGGCGCTGTGACCACAGTACCAAAGATAAGGGAAAAGGCTTTGTAACACTATGAGATATTTACTATTTCAATAAAAGATTGTACATTTTAAATTTGTGGAAGACACTTCTGCATCTACAATTGTCTGACAACCAGGAAAGGTGCGTTTAAAGGCTGTTCTGAATGTCCTTCCAGGAACACAAAGTTTCTCATCTATGTTAAGCCAGTCAGGAACAGGGTCACATCATATTTTATTAAGAGATCACACTAGACTAGCCATTTGCAAGTCCTTTTCTAGAAAGCAGGAAATATTATATTCTGATCCTGTCTACATCTCACTGTGGTCATTAAAACACAGGATCTCAGCAACAATGAAACTTAATTCTGGATAGATAGACGTTACAGAGCCTTTTTGGCTTGCTTTCTCTTAACTTCCAGAAATACTTGCAACATTGCCTAAGAAAAACATTGAACACTTTTGGGTAATCCTTTATCTAATTTTTCTCAACAATTTGAGTAACTACCTTCACACTGGAAAAAGAGGTGCTCTACATACTCTGCTTGAGATTTGGAAGAAACATTCAGAATTCTTACTCAACACCTGTGTTGTCCCTTTAGTCACAATCAATATAGCCAGTCCTTTCATTACTCAGTTACCATTTTCTGCTGACTAATTCCAATTATGCCAGACTTCTATGCCCATGTAAATTGGGTTTCAGACCCCTATGTACTAATTTCAAGCACAAACAGTATTTAAGAGAATTGGCTTTCCCTCTTGTCCAACATCCACAGTGACTTGTACCACAGGTACCACAGAATAACTACCTTTGTAGTCCACCTGCTTGCCAAGCGTGTTCAATGGCACCCCATTCCTGGTGATACTAACATAATTACAGCATCTTCTCAGCCAGCCATGCACATAGCCACCTAGGATTGCTTTTACAGGTCAAGCGTAACAAGAGTGCACACGTAATTTTTCACAGAGTAACTAGGGATATGTTACAGAATAATGAGAAAGAAAAACTCAAGAGCTGTTATAGCCTCAGACTCCTCCTCAAGTGTTAACACATAGATTAAAGAAAAAAAGAAAAGGTTGGATTAGTTTCCCCTCTCTACACAGATCCTCTTGCTCTGGTGCAAAGGAGGTCAACTGCTTCTGTAGTTCTGTCTTTTTTGATGTAGTGAGAACTAGCAACTATGAAAGAGACAAGGAATTTTCTCCATACAACTTCAAAATACTTCTTTTATAGTAAGGTTATCAACAGACCCCCTACAAATTAATAAGCAGTTCTGAAGTGTGTCCAGATGAATAATAATAACAAGCTCCTACACAGCTGGAAAAGACCCTACTGTACTTGATCATGAATAATTCTGACCCCCCACGTACCTTGAGGGATGCACAAATACCTGGAAACTGTAGGACTGCCAGCTTCAGGGAGCAACCCTTCCACCCCCTTGGAAAATCCCCATGAAGTTTACTCACAGAATCATTGATTTTGCACACGTCCATGAAAAAAAAAATCTGATTGTTCCACTGACTGTCAGCTTTAGAAAGCATTTTAAAGCATCCTTGGTATTTTGTCTGCAAGCATGCTATGACATACAGTCTGCCCTGTTCACCCCTTTTAACTAAGAGCTAGTAGTCAAAACTGCCCCTTGATGCCCCTAAACTTATGTCACGCACAAAACATTCAGTTATATGCTACACATCATTTAACACTTATTTTGACAAATACCCTGCAGGGGAGATCTCTGGCAGTGCAAGAATTGTCGCATTGCATCAAAGTGAATTTCAGCTAGCTCCATATTTACTCTGGCAGTGACCAACATCATGTAACACAGAAAAGACAAAGATCATAACCATTCTTGTTCTCAGTAAGAAATGCTCTGGTTCATCAAAAGTTAGGCAGATTAAATAAGATACGGAAGATAAAAAGCTTTTTTGCTTTTGGGTGGTTTCTTGGGTTTTTTGTTTGGTTTGGGTTTTTTTGGGGCGTTTTGTTTTGTTTTTTTTTAAACACATGGAATCAAGACAGTCAAACACAGGAAAGTCATCTACTGAGGAATAAAAAATATAAGACATCCAACTGTAGTCTTGCAAAAAAAAAAAGCTGGGTCAATTCATAGGCACAGATCCAGGTATGAACTTTCCTTGATTATGCAGAGAAATTGGCAACATTCTTTAGAAGAATTTAAATACCCTATGTTTACACTGGTAGAAATCAGTATCTTTTTTCTTTTAAGAGAAATAAATACATATTCTAAAAGGACTAGTGCTGATCAATGACTTCTTGCACTACATCATTTGAAAGAACTTCCAACATTTATTTTCAGGCTTGAAGACCTGAAAGTTCAAGTTAAAACAGGAAAGTATTTTTTCCCCCAATTTTCAGATCATGCTGAAAAAGTATTCGATATAAAAACTTATGTCACAACACCACTGATATAATACCACCAAGAATATTTTAACACCTCCACAGCTTGTTGTAAGTGTTCCTCTAGCGCCATAAATGTGAGAAACTCAGGATCCACATAAGGAATGGCTTGAGCAAGTCCTAGGCCATCACCAAACTCATCAAGTAGTCTGAAAAACATGAGTTAAGAAACATAGTATTCATTTCAAAGTAAATAGTAATAACATGAGGGCTGGGTATATCAAATTACTGCTTATCAGCTGTTAACAACTATGTGCTTACACTCTCATAAGGTGGTTGTGTTGGGTTGACCTTGGTTGGCTGCCAGATACCCACCCAGCTGCTCTCTCACTCCCCCACCTCAACTGGACAGGAGCATAAGTAAGACTAAAAGCTTGTGGGTTGAGATAAAGACAGTGACATCACCCACCAATAGACACCACAGGTAAAACAGTCTCAACTTAAGGAGGAACCTTAATTTAACTGAAAGGTTGAACCAGATGATCTTTTGAGGTCACTTCCAATCTGGGCTGTTCTATGATTCTATAAATTTATTGCCAATAAAAATGGATTTGGACATTGAGAAAAACACCCGAAAACTAAAACACCTTCCCTTAGCCTTCCCTCTCCTCCTAGGCTCAACCTCACTCCTTCATTCCTGACTCCTTTATGTCCCCCTACCCCAAGCGGTGTAGAAGGACAGGGAATGGAGATTGTGGTCAGTTCATTGCAGTGCCTCTTTGCCACTGCTTCCTCCTCACGCTGTTCAGCTCCTCCAGTGCGGTGGTCCCTCTTATGGGCTGCAGGCCTTAAGAATACACCTGCTCTTGCCTGGGTCTTTCCTACAAGTTGTAGTCCTTCACTAACTGCTCCATTGTGGCCTCTCCACAGGTACAGTTCCTTCAGCAAATACCTGTGTGGTCTTCTCCAGGGGCTGCAGGAAAATCTCTCCTCCAGCACCTGGAACACCTCCTCCTCCCTTCTCTACCTTGGGTTGTTTCTCCCACATTATCCTCACTCCTCTCTATCTCTCTCTCTCTCACATTCTGCTGTGCAGATTTTTTTTTTTTTACCCTTTCTTAAATACTTTCCCAGAGGCATCACCCTGCAGAGCATCCATTGGGGTGAGCTGGAGCCAGCTGCGTCCCACACAGGGCAGCCCCAGCCTCCCCTCACAGAGGCTGCCCTGCAGCTCCCCCTGCCAGCACCTGCTCCCAGTACAGAGGTACACTCAAGACAATATAGACTTCAGAAGAACATGATGGGAGCTTTTACTGTTGATATTCCAGAGTAAAAGGGCATACAGCTCACCTAATGAATTTCCTATGTATGCTTGTAAGCTCATTTTACAACCAGCATTCAGATTTTGATTACATCATATGATGTAACTTGGCAGCTGCTGCAAGTTCTGTTTTCAAAATTCAGAGATCAAATCTTGAAACCAGCACAAGCAAAGTCATGTACAGAACTGCGTATGCTCAGACAAAATTTAACAGACTATTAAAGAAGCATCTTCCTTCATATTTTGAGTCATTCAGAAGCTTACCAAGGCTAACCTCCAACACTTAAAACCAGGTTTTGTCCATATCCTACAGTTCTTTGCTAGCTTACTATCTGGTATTGTAAGAACACGTGCTTCCTTCTAGCTCAAAGTCTCATGAGTTAGTCCCTTGTTGTGCTTTTTCAGAGCATAACTTCACAAGGAGAAAATACCCATGGGTTTGGTATGTCTACACTGTAGTTTATATAGTATTTTTAAAAAACAGAAGAGAGAAAGTGTTAAGTCTCTCACTGGGAAGCATTCTGCCTAGCTCACTCTCACTTTAAAAGAAATGCATTGTACTATTCTAGCATTAGGGTGTGCAAGTGGCTTTGCTCACAATTCTTCTTGCAGAATTTTCGTAATACATATATCGCAACATTCTTCAGTAATCTAATGACAGAAAATTGAATGAAGCATTCAAAATTATGACAATATTAGGTAAGCACATGGCATTTCAAGAAGAAATAAATAGGCTTGTAACATATAACTTGCACCAGTTGCAAAAAGAGGAAAAGACCAATTATGAAACTGCACTGACTTTAATGCTGATTACATTCACATTGCATTATTTTTGTTATACTTCCACTATACTTACCATCTTGAAAATTAATTGAAAAGGTACACCCATCCCATGAATACTTTGTGCACCAGGATTTTTTCATATCACAGGCTGAATTAGCAAATCTACATCCTTTTTTCTCTTGTTAGAAAAAACATAGCATGTGAAGTGCCTTGAGCCTTAAAACTCATATTATCAGCCTTTGAAGCAAGTGCATACTGATAGCCATGTGTATTTTTGACATCTCATAAAAAGCCAAACAATAACTACAAAATCCCTTACATTAATGGAGAAAACTCTCAAAGTCATACCTCCACTCCACATCCAGGTCTTCACTCACACTGGAGTCATCCTCAAGGTTGTTATTTCCATCCAACAGGAAGAATCCAGGATGCACAAAGTCACTAACTGGATCATTTTCCTCATCACTGCTACTTTCTACTCGTTCCCGGTACTGTAACCAACGAATCTCTCCCTCCTCCAATAATGTCTGTTCCCTTCAAATAAATAAATGAAAAGCTAAAAATCTAGGAAAATTTACAAACACACACACACAAGGAACACGCATTGGAAGGGCTGCAGCTGCATGTTTCCCAGACTGCAGTCCCAGATTAGGAATTCAGTATTTGCTCTAAAAAACAATAAGGCTCAGAATCTAGTAACACCCATGATTCTGTGCAAAATTATTGTCTAATGCTCAAGGCTAGCAGTATAGTAAGTAGCTTCCTTTGCATTTTCCCTAGCACAGGCAGTATTCTTGCCATGGCTAGTAAATTTGGTACTAAAGATCTTATTCATCTACAAGATCCTAAACCCACTAAAAAGAACAGCTTTCTTGACACCCTGGAATTGCCTTCATGGGGAAACTTGGCCTGCATTCAAGGAGATATTATTTGCAAGAGATGCTATTTGCATAAGGAGAAAAAACTCTTCTCATTCCTCAATTTTCTAGAGGAGCACAAGTCACCTAGATGGTTAAAGCCACAGGGGTGCAAGCCCCACTTTCCTTATCAAAGGGCAAATAAACAGGAATCATGTTAGAAATGGGTACATTTGCAGGCTGTTCACAAAAATCCTAAGAATACACAGCTCCATTGTTGTTGTTCTGAAACAGATGAGTTTTCATAATATTTTCATAAAGCCGCACTAATTCTCCAAACCTCAAGAGACAGCAATACTGAAAAAGCAGTAACAGAGATACGAGCCGTTTGGTAACAGGTACTGTCTACCTAAGAGTGGAAGAAGCTGAAAGAACATTTAGGGCATGGCTTGATGCTTTATAAAGACCCAAAATAAGAATATAAGGTCAATATTAGATGTTTAGATTAAAAAACCCAAAAAACCCAAACACTTTCCTTGGCTATTTATAGCTACGAATTTTGCCTTGCAACAAAGGCAGATAAATTTTATAAAGTAAAGTACTGAATGACTGGAAAAATAATCAAGTTCTTCACAAACAAGGAGTTCAAGTTTACCTTAATCACTGATAGGGCTGCAGAAACAAAGAGCAACAGTGGAGTATGAGAAGCAATAAAGCAAAGAGATAAACAACTGCTTTGCAAGGAGTACTAAGCAGTACCAGAAAGGGTGTATGTAACAGAGGTCTTAACAATTAACTTGCCTAATCTGGCTTTTTAAAGTTGGTACATCCAGCCTATTATCCTTATTAACACTACATGTCAATGCCCTCTCATTATTTCTGTATTTTTCATAAAATAGCTTCCATGGCATGCCATTTTTCCCCAATTTGCAACAAAC